AGTTATAGATATATCAATTCATGTGAATATGACTGAAAAATTTCATTTTTTCTGAAAAGGTGGTGTCTGTTTACTTGTGACCACGCTGTGTACATATGATTCAGATACTGGCATCACTATCACTGTACTCACTGCTAATTACATAAATATTTCCCCTACCAGGAAAATCAGCAACGAACACAGCATCCATGTGTTCTGACTCCTTTTCCAAACTGTTTTCGACATCTCTTAATACAGTACGCCAATCAGAAAGCTCAGTTAGAACAGGCAATACCCACGTAATCTCGCGGAAAGGCGACCAATCGGCTTCCAAAATATTCACAGTTGGATCATATACTCTACAATGAAATTAATAGAAACATAGAAAATTAAAATAAATAATATATGGATTCCTCTCTGTTATACATAATTTTCATTTATTCAAAAGTACGAATAGTATTCAGAAAGAAACAGGATCTTATTTTCTGTAGGCCACCTCATCAGATTGCAACCAACAAACGTAAACCAATGGCATAGAAAGTTGGGATGACCAGACATCACTTTCAAACATAAAATCCTTCATTATTATATGAGCGTCATCAAATCGCCAACTTGTAGATGTAGTGTTCCGAATCGTTTTGTGTACAGCTGCTTTAAAAACAGCGTTTGGTTATCCATACACACCGTCCTATGAGAGGCCAAAAAAAGAATGAATCGTCTCTGTAAATTTTGGCTTCTCATATCTTCACTTCTTCGTTGAGAACTATTCACATAGCATTGTTCAAAAGAATGCCTCTCGAAAATGTCGGTTTGTAATTTTTCGCACGCCACCTATCGTGGAAACATATAACACGTGATACCACTAGCAACAGACGCCTGACTTATTGACGCAATCATTCACCGAACGAAATTTTTTCACATGGAATGTGTGGGGAAAATATATTTTATTTCTAAACCTTCCTGTTATCTTTGTGAATCAATTACTCAACCACATATTTCTGTAAAAATATCTTAACATTTCTTTTGTCTATAGCTTCAATATTTTCAATGTCTATAACATTTTATTTAAAAACAATTATTACTTGGATTTCTAGCCAAGCTTCTTTCTTAAACTGTACAATTTCTTGAATTATTTGGATTCAATAAGATGTAAAATATCTCTAGAAAACATTTACTAAATATTTTTCATATGGAGGTTTTATACATGTTTGTTTTATCAGTACCATATATATATATATATATACATAACTTATAGTCACGTGGTAAATATTATTAAGCTGGATGTTTACAGAAAATATAACTCACTGACTTGATCACCTGGTTGGTTGTTTTTGTTGTTAAACACAAAGCTAAACAAAGGGCTATCGGTGCTGTACCCATCACGGGTATCGAAACCCGATTTTTAGCATCGTAAACCTTCATACTTACCGCTCAGCTGATCAGTTTTATTTGTTAAATTTGTATCAGTTTTTAAAATATAATGAAAGTAATAAATATAGTTTGATTATAATTTCCTTAACATTTCAAATCTTTCGAATAAACACTTTTGTTTAACTGTAGAATATTTTGAATTTTCTAGAAGTACCTTTGAGAAAAGCGGCCGTTTAGAGACAGCCAAACATCGACGTAAATTTCAATGTCCGTGATGTTGTATTGGCTTTCCAGTCTACTAGCAACACACGAGGCAAACTGCTTGACCATGTCGGCATGATGGGTCCATCTCCAGCTGTGGGTCCAGGCCTGGAGAGAGAGTTACATCATAATATCCATTATACTAAGGTCGACCCTTCACTATGCCGTAATGATGGTTCTATTAAATCTTCAACTATGTGTCCAGTCATGCAGAGAGAGAGTCATACCGGTTATACTGAGGTCGGCCCTGTAATTTTCTATTAAAAGCATCTCAAATCGAGTTATTTAACTTCAATTTAAAGTTTAAGAACAAGAAAAAATAATTCCTATGCATATTCTAAATCAACACATATTACACATGTAATAAGACGCGGAAAAATTAAATGGTTTTGAAAATTATGAAATGACATTATGATCCCGTAAAACGGTGGTTCATAAACCTTTGAAGCTAGCGTACTCCTTTCAAAATTTATTACAAATTCACATACCTCCATGATTCTGATACTGAAAATAAATACAAAATAACATTTTTTCAGGTGCAAAATTCTCACTATTATCGCTACTAGTATCTATAATTCACAAACTTTGAATACATAAAAACATTATAATTATTACTTAATTACAACAATGAACAAAGTAAACTATTTTTTTCTGACTTGTTTTAGTTTCAGTTTTTCTTTTGTTTCGCGTATCCCAAAGAGTACGTGTAGCATTTTCTCAGAAACACTGGGCTAAAATACTGACTACTGATATAGATTTTTCATTAGAAAATTTATATGATACAGATAGATGATTTTTAGTTTTATAAAACATTTTTTCTACGACTTAAGCTTTTTATAAAGTTAAAATTGTATTTGTTAGCAGATATAAAGAGCATGATAAAACTGTAAAGTAATAATCCCAATCATTTGAAACACGCTTCAAATATGATAGACTGAGGATGGAGGATAGCAATTATTATTATATCTACCAATTAAACGTTTGTAATGTGCATGCACCATTCAGGTAGGATATAGCGTACAATAGCTCTATTATTAAATTGCACAGCAAAATGCTACACTGATACAATTAATATACACGTTTGTTTCTGACTTTTAATTGCAGCTAAATTACCGTTATTATTTTCTTGACAATAATATATTATAAAATGAGAGAATGAGATATCTCTCATGAGATACTTTACAACATGTATATTGTCATTTGATAATATAAAAGGTATTTAATATATCTTTCTGTAAAGTCAGTTTTCATTATGTCAAACTAGTAAAGACTTCAGCCAACCAAGAAACCTTATTCTTGACTTTGTTTAAAGCAAATTGGAGTTATTACGAGACATTTGTATTAAGGCAAATAAAATAACGACCTGTATCTCCAAATTACATCTTTATTAGCCTAATATTTCGCTATTACAGCTTCGTCAGGAGCTGTCAATATCCTACAAGTTCACTAATTCAGTTGAATATAATTGGAACACCATCATCAGTAAATTGAACAATTTTAGAACGTGTTTAGAAAGTTCAGGTCATAGATAATATCAAACATTCTCAAATTTAAATTGTTGAAACGAATCAAACTAATAATGTAAATAAATGATATATGTAAAACAACAGGTGCATTATTAAAATCATAGGATTGAGAATAGGATACGTTATGTGTACCTCTTCATATTTGTATCTATATATATTATATCAATACATACACAAAACAATGTCGCAAAATACATTTTATTTGTTTGTTTGAAGTTAAGCACAAAGTTGCACAATGGACTATCTGTGCTCTGGCCACAAAGGGGATCGAAACTCGATTTTAGTGTTGTAAATCCGTAGACATATTAAAATCTTAAGATTCCTATTAACGTTTCTACACTAAACATCAGCCGTTATGTTTGTTCATTATAGGGTTTTTTCCTTAAAATGAAATGGAGTATTTAATGTTTGGGTCCGGAAAACTATGGCATTTATATAAGATACTGACATCGAATAAAATGTTATTTGCTTGTGGTATCCCATGCTCTTTTTCATAATGTTCAGCTATAGCACTGTTAGTATTGAGGTTTTGGATGTCACGCACATGTTCAGATATTCCATCGTGTACGAGTGAAGTTTCTCCTTTTTACGTACTAGATCATTAGCCAAAAGTTACTTCCAAAACAACGTTCTTGCTATATCATCGATCGTGTAGTCCATATTCAATGGCTTTACAGTTATTTTTTATATATCGTGTTCTTTCTTGTATGCTGAACTTGTTATTAATGATTTAAGGGAAATACCTGGTTGTTGTACTATTTTAATAAGGAAGTCTGATGTTGTAATCATCCTCTTCAGTTTTGTGGTGATATTATCACTTATATATGGAATCACTCAAGTAACATGAGCTTTACATGTGCTTCTTATATTTCTATGGATCAAGAGGACATGTCTATTTTCTTTTTGCCTATCAAAATTTCTTATTATGTTTTGTATAACTTCTCGTGGATAAGCATTTTTCCTTAAAAGAGTCATCAAATTTTCCCTAGCCTCCTCCTATACTTCTTTATTTATTACAAACTATATCCTATGGAGGTAGCCGATAACCACCTCTTTTTTACTGCGGGAATATGATGCAAGTGGAAATTCAAATTTAGATCTTTAGTAGATGGCTTGCTGGAAATACCAGTAATGATTTACTTATTCTTGACATGAATTGTAGTATATAAAAACAGTTTCTACCTGGTGTGGCATAAGCAAGTGTAAATTCTGTGAATGGGTGAACAGTATTCTGAACTCATTGAAACTAATAAGAGACACAAAGTTAGTGTTCCACACTCCAAATATATCATCTATAAATCTATACCAGATTAATGAGTCTATATTTCCTCCTGTTTTTCAAGAATTAAATGTTTTCAGTTCAAGCATATGCATAAATATGACAGCCAAGATTACTGCTATTCTATTTCCTATAGCTATTTCTCTGATTTGTTTATAAAATTCCCCCTTAAATCTTACATACCCATTACTTAACACAAACGTCAGAGCTCGTTCTAACCAATCTGTTGAAATATTTATAAGTTCTAAGTCATCTCTGTTTTCTGTTATCATACTCATAATATTCTTTGTCGTATTTTGTGTAACATTTGCTATAAAGATGATAAAATGTCTGTCTAGTTGAAATTGCAAACGTTGGTCCTTTGTTGAGTAAATATCATCTTCTACAGTTATATTACTTTCTTTGAGAACTTTGCATTATTCTGACTTAGCTTCGTTGGTGTAACTATATGAGTATTTATTAACTAAGGCTTCAACTGAATTAATGAATATTTAGGATATCGATAACTCCTAACGAAGCTTTAATAACGAAATTCTGAGCTAATAAAGATAGATTCTAGAGATATAGGTCGTTATTTTATTTATCTTAATCGAAATAACCAAGAATCCTCACTAACATTAATAATAACTAAGGATCAGGAACCATGAAAATTTGATGTAAATCAGCATGGCTATCGATGATCAATAGTCCTAATAGTTACAATTCTTGTTCAGTTGTGTGAGCCACAGTCCCAGGAAGAGTAGCTTTTACGAGAGTTCGATTGAACGCATGGCTGTAGCTAGCTAGTTATGAGTTAAAATTTGAAATTAAATGTAACGTACTGTTTAATTTTAGTCCACATGGAAAGGCATACAATATATATGGCTGGCCCTATGTACTTGTCAATGTTTGGACCTCAGGTAAATTTTCTTTCTAGCTACGACCCTGTATGAACATAATAAATATTTGAACAGTAACTGGAAGGTACAAGAACAAAATTATTCTTCAGTTTTTCGGAACTACATTCATTTGTTATGTAAATCGAACATTACGTGATTTTAATAAAAACATTTCTTCACTCACGTAATAAATTACACTTATTAGTCGTGTGATAGATTTTAAAGGGTATTAGTGATGGTCATTTATATGATTAATTACCCTGTGTACATATGATACAATAACAAAAAGATATAAAATCTAACATTCTGTGATATAACTAAAAATGTCTTATTATTGGCACGATATTTCCAACAATATACAGCTGAGTGGCAGTTTGAGGTTACCTCTGAGTCTAAATACAACTCCTGGCCAGTCCTACTCTCAACTACAGTAACTTTGGTATGAAGATGCTTCCAATTGTGAACCATCATGTCCCATGAATATCCGTATAGTCCTTGAGTCCAGGTATTGTAGCCCTTGGTTAGCCAGTGGGAGTAAGGTAAAAATGCCTGGACAGCAAAATATCCACAGAGACCAACGACAACCGCTTTGTGCCAAGAACTGACGGATGACTCATTATTTGAATGCTAGTGAATAAAAAAGATGTCAGATTGACCAAGAATAATTTTTGGATCATAGTGAGTTTGACCTTTTATAAAATTAACTTGTTCTGCTTATGACTTTGTTATATATATTATTAGCAGAACGCTACCATGATTGTTAGTTGTTGTTTTTTATAATAAGAGAGTTAAAAGCAGACGATTATTGGAAGTTGTGTTTATAATTCATTGATGTTGAGACTATCAAATGTCGCGTGCAATACATTGACGTCGAGAACATAGAGATTTCTAGAAGGCGGGCAGACGATTAAATGATAAACATATAAATAGTGAGAGACGAGCGGAAACAGCAAACAGACAATAGTGGAAGAGAATAAAGTCACGGCCAAGGTAAAGTTCGGCGTGAAGTTAAGTGCCGTAGAAGTGATAGGCCTAACGTTTAATATGTTAAAGTAAGACTAACATTAGAAAAGGAGATAAGAAGAAGAATGTATTCTGTCAAAGCGTAGTTCTGGAGTAATCAGCCTGAGTGCACTTTGACAAAAGGAACAGAAAATATTTTCAAGGAAGAAGACCAAACGATTGCTGGAAGAGCAGTATACGACTGCGGTAACTTGTACCACAATTGTAAGTGAATTATACACAGAATACTAATGCAATAGAAATAGAGAAAGGTAGTTCGGCTTGTCAACTGACATTCTCAAGTAACTGAATAGGCCTAGGTGGACCTTTGACAAGAAGAAGAGAACCATGTTGTGTTTATGATATGTCTATGATTTCTATAGTGTAAGGAAATTACAAATACGTTTAACTATTTCCGAATATATATTATTTTGAACATAAGTGGAGCGAGTGCTGTTCGTTTATTTTTGGATTTATCAGCAACAAGCCACATACATCTACTGTTGAGGAATCCTAAGCCCAACAAAAACAACACAGTATATATTTATATTCTTAAGAAGTATAAGTAAAAGCCGTTAATTGACAATTGGCGAACATAACTTAACATTTGACAATTGGCGAGCCACAGCCAAAATTATACAGTGATAAAAGGCGATAGAAGAAAACGTGAACGACAGCGAAAATAAGTAGGCCTATATACGCAAAACTGTAGTAGTAACGAAAACAGTGTAGATATTATAATCACGCTATTAATCATGTCAAATTTTAATAAAATTATAGAAATTGGAGAATGGCTTAGGTTAAAAGGCAGTGAAATACGAGAGTCTGTTAAACAACAACAAGAACTAGAGAAAGAAGAGCATATGCAGAGAAGAGAAGAATAAAAATTAAAAGAAGAAAATAAAATAGAAAGAATAAAAGCACAAAGAAAGAAAGAAGAAAGGGGAGAGAGAAGAAAATGAGGAAAGAAGAGGCTGGAAATAGAGAAAATAAGAGCACAAAATGAGATTGCAAAGCTCATCCAACCAAATGAAAAAGGACCCAAATGAAGTTAGGGCCAGCTGACCTAAGCTGACCAAATTTCATGAACATAAAGATGGCATGGATGCTTTCCTGGAGAGATATGAAAGGTTCGCCCAAAGTCAGAACTGGGACAAATGCGACTGGGCAGTCTGTCTCAGACTACTTCTCACAGGAAAAGGCCTACAAGTCAGAATATGCCATAAACTATGACAATTTAAAAGTGGCTTTACTAAAAAAATATGAACTTACTGATGAAGGTTGTAGTCGGAAGTTCAGAGGAGTCAAATCCGACAATGGAGAAACTATTTCAGTTTATGGCACGTCTGCGGCGATACTTCACAAGATGGACTGACATGGCAAAATGTAACAATAGTTTTGAAGGACTGGCAGACCTATTATTGCTAGAACAGTTCATGATCACGTGTTCAAACGACATGTCACTGTTCGTAAAGGAGAGAGAGAAACAAAAGATGTAGACGAGATGATCAAACAGGCAGAACAGTATGTGGAAGCCGATGGAGGAAGTATAACTAGCAAGTCCAAGAATATCCAGTTAAATTTGAAACCAGTGATGGATGACCAGCAGCAGGAGTTTACCAAAAGTGACAGGAGATTAATAGACAGAAGAAAGAAGAGATGCTATGTTTGTTATAAGATGGGACATATTGCAAAGGAGTGCATGCCCATCACCAGCAAACAACAGCAGAAGTCTCAACGTAAAACAGCTGGAGCTAATTACAAAGACAGTGCTGATAAGAAACAATAAAAGAGTGACTGGCACAAGGGATGCTGCTGCCAGAAGAAAGATAATCAAGACTACTCTTCAGATTCAATACAAAAAAAAGAATGATTGATCAGTGCACGACTAATGATCGGCTCAAGTTAGCAAATGGATCAACAGTGCCAATAATGATTGGAGCATGTTACAAATATCAAGAGGTGGAAACAAACCATAATATGCCAATATGTGTGGGCTATGATGGAGATAAGAAAGTAAAGGTTTTACGAGACACTAGGTGCAGTAGTGCAGCACTGAGGACCAGTCTAGTATCTGATGACAGGTAAGGTACGTCTATGTGTGGTAATTAATGGGACAGTGAGAAAGTTTTCCACAACAAAAATAAAGGTGGATGCTCCATATTATGTAGGAGACCTTGAGGTTATGTATATAAAGGAACCATTATACAACTTAGTGATTCGAAATATACCAGGTAATAAGAATTTAGAGGAACTAGACAAAGAGGAAAACTGCCGAAGCAACTTCAGTCATCAGAAGAGCTCAAAGGTAAAGGAGCAAGCAAGATGTCAAACTCTTAAAGTTTTGAATGTAGGTTCACGGATGTTGAAGGAACTTTGAGACAATGCCCCAGTGAAATACGAACACAAGACAAAGGGGGAAAGATGCTTACAGAACAGAGAACCAAAAGGAATAATTAAACTGGACCTATCAAAACAGTTTTACTGGGGACGCCAAACTCAAAAATAGTCAGAAAAACCTTTACAATAACAAGACCAAGAGTTGACATTTCAGACCCACAGACAACAACATACTTATTCGGCAGTGGAAAGGACCTATCACAGTACAGGAAGTGGTCAACAGAATACACTATAAAGTTAAAGTGAATGGGATGACTAAGGTCTACCATGCCAATCTGTTGAAGAGGTACTTTAAGAGCGAAGACGACTTTGTGGGTGTAGCTATTCATGTACAAATGGGCATAGCAGGTGTGGCTGTCATAGAAGCAGAATCTGAAGACAGTGACTTCATTACAGAAGATAGGAACCTACTAAGCTTAAGACCGCTGAGTAGAGATGAGGCATATAAAGACGTCAACATAAGTATCAAGCTGACTGATAAGAAGGAAGAGGAACAAAATTTACTGTGTCAATATACAGATAGATAAGGAAATACAGACCTCAGGCAACACAAGATCAAGATGAAGACAAGGGATCCAGTTAAGAAGAAGCATTGTTGGAGACTCTACCCTAGAAGAGACAGACAAAGGAACTGTAAATTTTGGTTTAGAAGATGAGAAGACAGTCTTTGTATATAGTGAAAAAAAATATTGTAAATATTTATCTTGAAGAGCGGTTTATGATATAAAACACTGTTTAGTCTAGGTAGTATTAATTAATTTAATTTGTGAGTTAAAAGTTTTTGATTGCTTAGTGTGTGTTTTTATAATAAGAGAGTTAAAAGCAGACGATTATTGGAAGTTGTGTTTATAATTCATTGATGTTGAGATTATCGAATGTCGCGTGCAATATATTGACGTCGAGAATACAGCGATTTCTAGAAGGATGCAGAGGATTAAGTGATAAACATGTAAATAGCGTCAGACGAGCGGAAACAGCAGACGAACAATAGCAGAAAAGAGTAAAGTCACAACCAAGGAAAAGTTCGGCGTGAAGTAAAGTGCAGTAGAAGTGATAGGTCTAACTATTAACATAGGCCTAACGTTTAATATGTTAGAGTAAGACTTACAGTAGAAAAGGAGACAAGAAGAATAATTGATTACATTGTCAATTAAAGGTTTTTACTTATACTTCTTAAGAGCATAAATATATATTGTGTTGTTGCTGTTGGGCTTAGGATTCTCCTACAGTAGATGTCTGTGACTTTGTTGGCGATAAATTAAAAAATAAACGAACAACACTTACTTGTTTTCAAAATAATATATATATATATTTGGAAATAGTTAAACGTATTTACAGAATTGTTTTACATTATAGAGATCATAGGTAAGTCATAAACACTGGTTCTCTTCTTCTTACCAAAAGTCCACATAGGCCTATACAATTACTTTAGAATTTCAGTTGACAAGCTGAACTACTTTTTCCTATTTCTATCGCACTAGTATTCTGTGTATGATTCACTTACAAACTATATCTCTTATGAAATACTTATACAAACTATGAAATATAACTTCATAGATGATAAATATTTTAATTTATATTGATATATTTGTAAAACCATCAGTATGACTGGTTCTTCTCAAGGAAGATGAAATTTAAGTAGGAGTGGAAGACCAGCTACATAAAGTCAAAGTTGTTCAATTTTTTTATGTACGCGAGAATCAATTATGAATTAGCATACAGGAGATAGAATAATAGAATAGTGCATTCACTCCATCTAACAGCACATCTTTCATTATTCCAATCAGGATAAAAGTAATACATAAAAGAACGAAGTGTCAAGATCGTTCTGGCAAAGTACACAACATGAAATATAAATACAAGGGAAATTTAAATAATGGTCATTTATCTCAAAAACTAATATAAATTATGAAGGGTGTAATACTTACTCTAGGTCCTTTTTTATTTTCCGACACCGGGCATTCTATACAATAAGGATTCCACTGTGGGGGTTCATTGACTGGCAAACACCATTTAAGAAAGGCAGGAGCAGAAGAAATAAAGGGTCTGGGCCAATCAGGAGAACAGAATATAGGCATCGTGGCTAGCATGACATAAGGGAACATTCCTAACAGAAATACACCACGGAAAATTTATCTCACTGAATTTCGTTGATTATAGAAATTAAAAATAAAAGATAAATATTAATTCTCTAGAATACACACTTTTTTGTTATATTTTACTTTTCTACTAAAAATGATAACATTTTAGATTCTATATCCTTGATGACTTGTTTTCAATTACCAACATTAATATCTGATTCTACACAAATTTTGCGACACGGTCATTAGCATATGCTGTATTTTATTAAACACTGACTGAATGGTGAGGTGTATTTGTATTTTATAAACTGTGTTCAACGTAGCGGCCCTATAACGTGCAGAAAGATTCATTTCTGCATGAGATAATACCCGTTCAGATTAAACAACAACGTATATAGTCCATTGTATATAGCCACTTGTGATCTTGTTCAGCCTGATTAACTATATTAATAAAAGGATTCCTCTGGTTAAACCACAAATACTATACTGGATTATCAAGTGCATACTTTTACATAAAGTACTCTATGTCATAATTGCTAATTTGGTGTATTCTTCCATGAGAAAAAAAAAACTTGCTTTTGTTGAACAAGAACAAACAAACTAAATGTCCTCAGCCTTACTGCACATCTTCCTAATTATACAAATGCTTAAGTCAAAACTCATATGGCCATGATTTTGACGTCGAAATACAACTAATGGTAAGTATTCATTTTATTAGCTTAGATATATAATAGTGATCAAAAACTGGACATTGTTTATTAAATTTTTATCTTAATAAACACATCGCTCATACTTCAAATCCATTTATGAATCTAGGACCTCTGACTAACAAGGTCATTACTATACCAATGAGCAGTCCACCCTCGTATCTGGCCTGGCAATTAGTGGGTTAATTTACCAATACCTAAAGTAGTATAGTTATCATACTCACAGTTAAAGAGTCTTACGGGTGAAAAAAGAACGGGAGATGGATTGTACTTTCGGATAGCTTAGTAATAAAAAAGTGGTTCTATTAGCCAGAGGTGCTGGGTTTAATCCCCAGTTCCAAAGTATATTTTCACTCATCGGCTTTCTCACGTAAAAGCTTAAACCGCTCTTACAAACATTGCAAGGTTAAAAGTATACATTATTTCAACACTACATCTTATGGTAGTTCTTTAAGCATTATGACATTCAGAACATTGCTAGACTTACCAATAGAAAACAGTCGAGAATTCATTAAATGAAAAGCTCCACAGAAGATAAAGGCTATAGGACGACTAGAATCCAAAAACAAGAAGAATCCAATGGTTAAGTCTAAAAGGAATCCACCCCAGTGAACGATAAAATAATCAATGTGTTCATCTTCTAGTATGAATCTAGAAAAAGATATGTTGTTTTATAACTAAATGAAAAGAGAACTAAGAAAGTTTATCTCATGGGAATAAACTATAAGCAACAGAAGCTTTAATTTAAATAGAAATGAAATTTAATGCCAGTGTGTGCTTTCAAAAATGCTTAAGCCTTTTAGCCAGATATGCTACATTTATTCAGTTCTCGAGTAGAAAACAAACTACTACTAAACATATTGGAATACAGGTTAGAATTTTTTATTTCAAACTTTAAAAATAACTTTATAAAATACTTGTATACGGAATTAATATTTTGTTGTGATTTAATAGAATATTTTTAGAAAACGAAACAGTTCTTACTTAAATATATCAAACACCCAATGAGCAGAAAGATATTTCATTGAATAACCTCCAACCCAGTCTTTGTCCGTTTTTTTCAAACCGGCTATAAAATACACCAGAAATATCTGAAACAAGACGAAATATAAAAAATATCATCACAATTTGTACCGTAAAAATATCATCTAGTAACAGAGAGTGAGTGAGAACACTTTAGGGTGTATTGAAATTCCGAAACATAGGAAATTAGTATATTTCTTTCCCTGCCTTGCAGTCTATGATGAACATAATGTTGAATGTAGGCTGTTGCACACTTCTCAATAGCTTCCCTTGGTAAAAAAAACAAAACAACGTAAAACACTAGTATGATTTTGACATCTTTAAACTGTGGCAGATCAACTGTTAATCAGTTTAGAAAAGTTAATTTAATTTTTGCGTTCTCCTTCACAATAAATATAGAGGGCACTTGGTTCAAAATTAATGTTAAACTCAAACTCAAAATAAGTCTTTTTAAGGAGAACTTTCAATCTCTTAGAACACAATGCACCAAAATTCAATTTTATAGCCTAAAAAACATTTTGGCGAAGCAAGATAATTGATTCTATTACAGTTTTAATTTCGTAAAGAGGAGGCTACCTTTAAACTGGAGATAATATTCAGAACTAGCCGTGGCGATGACCTAAAATTATTCTGAATCTGTCACGTGGGTACATGTCGTTGCATTGAATAATCCTAGGGTGAATGGATTGTAAGCCTAGTAACAAGGATGGTTTGAGTGCAATGTTTCGTGCCTTAACAACACCTAATTAATAACTATTTTTGGATTCAAGAAGGCTTTTTCATTGATAAATTAAAACCGGAACTGAGCCAGTTGACTAGTTTGGCCACTCTCTTATCTGAACTGCAATTTAAATTGGAATCATTTCCGTTATTGGTTTTTTTTTTTTTTGTATGAAGATTTTTTTTTGTAATTAAGCACAAAGCTACACAATGGTCTATCTGTGCTCTACCAACCACGGGTATCGAAACCCGGATTCCTGTGTTGTAAGTTCGCAGACATGTCGCTGTGCCACTGGGGGGGGGGGGTGTATAAAGAACTTCTGCCTAATATCAGATGTTGACGTTTCTAAATGATAGTTCAGATTATATTTATCAAATGTATTTATAAATAACAAGAAATATCATACTGTTAGATAAATGAATGTACTTAAAAGGGAAAATATACAAAAAAATATGGTGACTTTAACACGTTCTGTATTTTATTGGTTAAACGACTAACCTTTACCATAATTAATTTATCACTTACATCAACTGGTGATTGCTTGAACAGGCATATATTTTGTAAATGAAACAATTAATTAAAACAAACCCTAATTCATGATAAATGAAATCTATCTTAATAAATCTATTTAACGATGCAACGTAAAATGCATGACAAATTTAACCACTGCTAGTTATTACATTGAACAAAATAACCATATTTGCATGGCTGACATATACTAGTAAGTCTACTAAACGATACAGCTATAATGCATGTTTAATCTGTCCTAAATAAGCTACCAAAAGAAACAACATACAATATATGACAAACTTAACCTTTGCTTTATCATAAGTACAGTAGTATTTATAGTATGAATGGGGCGGATATACAGTACATGCAATACAAACTATTTTCTCATATATACCTTTAACAACAATTAATAAATCTCAAAAATTATTTGAAAGATACTCTTAGGTGATAAACATAAAAATCAGCAAAGCGGATACAAAAACTTCATAAAAACCACAAATTTCTCGATCTCACTGACTGACTGACATTGTTAAACGCTTCTAACTGTGTAAAAAACAGACTTATCATAGTTATAACTGCACCAAATAGAACAATAGCACAGAGACCACATGCTAGTTCCAGCGTTTTTCTATACCAAACATTACCAAAAAGAAGAGGTACTTGATATACATCAGGTAATACCTTGAACAGAGACGCCATTTTGAAATACATACACGGGCTGCTCACTTCATATACTGAGTACGTATGGTCAAATAAACAGTGAAATAGTGTGGTCTTTTCGATCTACAGCATTGCGTGTCAAGATCTGGAAACTGTGAGTAGTATGCGGTATCCTAATGTAGAGTGAGTCTTAAGAGAAGCTTCACTATATAGGCTAAAAGACAAGCTACGCTCTTTTGCAAGGACTTTATAATACATATTGTAAATTAAATCAAGTCTGCAATCATGAAGCATTTCATACGTAGCATGGCTGTCTACAACTAGTTCAAACTGCCGCAACCAGTTTTTGCTGTATATAAGCCTTGGTTAGAGAGTGTTGTTTCCAGTTTTTCGTCGTTAAAATTATTCAAGTTGAAAATGTTACAAGCGTTTATAAGGTGAACCCTGACTGCAAGGCTGAATCAGTCAGCTTTTGACGATGGTTAATCATACACTACAGGTCAACTATTTAATATATCAATTATTTTATTGAGCCTGAGGTGATCGCTATTTATTTTTGGGGGGGGGGGTCGAACTGGCATCTGGATTTCTTCCATTTGTGCTCACGTGAGACTGTCATTTTGTCCGACTGTGCTACTCATTCTGTCAAACAAGCCTCCCATCCAACTGAAGATAAGTTGAAACTATATTTGTACTCCTGGTGGTATACTTTACATGAATAGTATCAGCATGCCTTCTTTAGTAAAAATTAGAAGGCTAAAAAGGAGGAGGTATTATCAGGATAACAAGTAAAGGGCTTTATCCTCGCGAAAAAAGAATTATAGGAAAACTAGGGTAATGAGAAAGCTTATTCTAAAGCAAGTAGACAGGTAAATCCTGAAAGACAAGGATCTTCCCCTCGAACTACATCGAAAAGAAGTTATAACAAAGACTTAGAAAAGAGCAGAATGGTTTCTCATAGTAGTTTCAAAGTTAGTTACAGTAAAGATGCTGAGAAGAGCGTGGCAGCCTCTTGAGCTAGTTCGAAGAAAATCCACGAGAAAAACTTGGTTATAAGTAGGGCTGTCTGCCATATTAGATTATAAAAATATATTTGTGGCAGGAAATAAAGCAACCAGAACTTTCTACTCTAGGAAGAAGTTCACTATCTGTGCCCCCAAAAAGGGATAAGTATGCTCTAGAAGAGCCAATGCTTGACAGAAAAGAAACTATTCCTGGGAATAGTCAAAGAAAAATGGAAGAACTAAAGGAAGCTTTCAGAAGGCAACAAAATAGCCAAACTGAAAAAATGTCCACCAAAGTGTTAAATAGAGCTTTCTGTAAAATTTGAGCTTCTAAACTACTAGCAAAGACATTTCACTTTTGCAGAAAGCAAGCTGGTAATTTGCTTATTACATATAGATTGATCGATGTCTTTGTAATCAATGAAAAGAAAGGCTTTGGTGAAGACGGAGACACATTGCCTCCATTGAGCCTTTCTTTTAGGATTCAGCTTACCATATAATAATTTATAGGTACTTTATACTGTCCATTATTAAAATGGGAAGTGCATAGTAGCAGAAGAAGTGGTAATTTGCTACAAAGATGGTACAATGAAACGTAAGGTGTGGAAACGTACTAATGAGTGTAAAACTTTCACAAGTGACAAAAACGATACCCTACTCTCACTGAATCAAGCCTTTGATGAGCCAATTAAATAGGTGTGACAAGTCTTAGAAGCTTGTGATAAGGATTTACTTAATATACATTGTTACAAAATTGTTACAACAGATGGCATTGACATTCCAAAAGCATGCCTTGGTCATCCATCGGTGTGCAACAATGATGACGGGGGTACTAGTAAGCTCTGAATATTCAGTACTGTCTAGGTTTTTGCAAAAAATTTTCACTGTTTTAAGCAGTCAACTCTATGTTAGAATGAGTGACACAGCATTATGTAAGGGTGATTTTGCAAAACTGATAGAATTCACTGGCACACAAAACTATCAAGCTCTTCTCAGTTATGAACAGGGCATTTCAGATAATGGGAGTGCTGTCTCAAAGCTTAGGCAACTCAATAGAGAAGCACAACTTTTGATTGAGCATGTTGTTATCATAGCCTAGTTAGGGAAGAAAACTGAAGATTTTGTCGAGCATGTGTGTATTAGCTGTGAATAAAAGAATGTCACTCGAGTTAAGTTCTCTCATGACAAACTTAGAAGTCAAGTGTAACATAGGTTAAAAGCTTTTGTTCTCAGTCAGAATCCAGCTGCTAACAGTGAAGAACTATATATATATAATTACTGTAAGCCCCAAATCCGTGCCAATGACCTACAAAATCATTGTGTCCTCAATGGTTTGCAAATTGTCCCTGTACCACCAAAGCTAGCAAAACTGGATGCTCTAAGTACACAGCTCATTCATCATAAGACTTAATACGTACAGCAGCAAAGTATCCACTTAAAATTATTTCAAAGTCTGTAAGGGCACCATGTTCTTTCTCCCATTGCCAACGAAGAAGACCCTTGATCAGGCAGAACAATCCAAATCGTTTATATCTGATACAGAGTTTTACATTATTGTCGATGGGAAACCAACGAAACATAGAATCGTTTGGTGTAGCCTAGTTGATGTTAATAAAGTGCACAAGTCTGTAGATGAGCTTAAACAAGTCAACTGGCTTTACAAGGATATAGGTGATAACGCTGTAGATGATTCAACTAAACATGTGATTGAAGTTGTCAACAGTGCCACTAACACAATGCTTGAAAAGGCTAATGGTACTAATATAGCTGGTAGACAACAAGCTCTCGCCAGACTCAAACATAGATTAGAACAAGGTGCTTAGTGTTAAGGAACGCCCTTTAGACAACAAACAACACCACCTCAATTTGAGTTGCTTCACAGCTCTTTCTCCAACTGGAGCTTATGGTCAAAACCACCAGTGTGGAAAGAAACCCAAACTCTCTGAGTATGTGAAATTTAGGCTACTTAACAAAGATTCACCCTTCCGAAAAGATGTATTATACCTACTGTGGCAGAAAAGTATTTGTGAACTGTATGCTGCCATCTATAACACCAGATGACAGTCCATGGTCAATTCATTACAAACAACTGAATCTCTCCAGATGTTTATTGCCTTTTGGATGATTCGTTGAAATACTGGATTACCACTGACTGGTTAAAATTGGAGAATGTATCTTACAAACAAAACGTTTGTACCACCAAACCACTCGTCACTGCCAAATAGTTCCCTCAGTCTCAAGTGCAAATAAGCCGAATTGAGATTGGAAACCATGGATATCTCATCAAAAATAAACACTTTAACATGTCTAAGAGTGGTCTTTAGAGTCAAGTGAAAATGCTTTGGAAATGACCAGTACTCTGCAGTTCTTCTCTCATTTTATATGGGGAGCTGAAAGAGATGGTTCATGGTGACACCACCTACATTGAAAGCAGTGAAGCCAATAGGAGCTCTAAGGGCGCACGTAAGCTCTTTAACTGACCAAATATTAGCAAATACAGCTCTGATGGCTTCAACTAGGAAAGACTTTCCAGTGATGATCTTGTGCAGTGGTCTTAATCCACACTGGCACACTGACCTTCGTGCCTTTTCTGGTGAAGAAAGTGGTCCTTTACTCTGTCAAAGATATCTCTATGATTGGTATTAAGCAAAGCTACTCGGGTATCTAAATCAAGCAAGTCAAGTGGATTAACATTCATATCCAAAGTATCATCCATAGCTCACTTAGCTTCACCCATAAGCTCTTAACTGACTTTTTCACCTTCACCAGCTTCTTGCCTAGCTTTGTTAATGCTACTGATCTTTGACTTAACTTCCAGTATTTTATATTATTTTTCATGGTGGATTGAGTTACTGGCATTCATTAATCTATAAAAGTCTCTTCTGCCTTTTATTTGGAAGAAGTAGTGTGCCCTCATTTCTGAAAGGAATAAAAAGGAGGATCAGAAAGTAATAGTAGTCCTCCCTCTGCCCCTCCTTTTTTGGATCATACTGTTTGTGATTGGGCAAGCAGGGTTTATGATCTTGTAGTCCCTCTTTCCATCTTTATTGTTGTTGTCCAATCAATCCATGCAACAAAATAATAGAGACACGTGTTACTAAGCCTTTGTGACATGTTAGGGTAGTGAGTCTCTATCAAATTGTCCTCAAAAATGTCATTTGAGTTTGCATTGGTTCCAGCCATTTTTTCAAGCTCCCTATGACTTTTCAATGTGTGACTGTTTGTAAGGCAGGGAAGCATCTATCCATTTGACAGTACATGATTTTTCAGTCAAATTGTCTCCAAGGAGGAAATCAGTCACCCTCCCTAAAGTGTAAGCTGCATACACCAGAGCTCCAGACGTGACACAAACACTTTTGTTTTCGCCTACATCTTCCCAGATCTCTTGAAGATTGCTTCTTTCGGCCTTCATGACATACCCTGTGACATGATGAACAAGAGCTAGGGACAATTCAGTTGCAAGCTGGATGTTTATGTTGATCTTCCATCAATAGAGAAACAAAGGATTGTAATCATTGACTTTTACCTCTGTTTCTGACCTAGCTAGCTGGTAGATATTTTCTTACACTTGAAACTATATGTTTCAGCTTGGCACTAGCACATGCTTGCCTAAGAAAGCCAAACTTACACCTGGTGCTAAAGTCCGATAAAGAGTTTTGACAAATGCTAGATTGTGTAAAATGTGGATGTCCTATAGACGAAACTCTTTTCACCCTTAAGCAGAGAATCATACAGGTGTATCTAATTGTAAAGAAACAACACCAATAAAAACATACAAATTATAGGTCCACACGAATATCTCATTCTTCTTTACAGTACATGTATTGATTCCAAGAATTCGATTCACAGAAACCTCTAGTCCTTGTATGATATGCATAACTAAGTTTGATAAGTTTAATACATCAGGCTTATTGTATACAAGATAGTTTGTTTGTTTGTTATGGATTTCGAGCAAAGCTACACGAGGACTATCTGCGCTAACCATCCCTAATTTAGCAGTGTAAG